TTCCAGCTCTCTTCCAGCTCCCCAGTGGAACATGATCCATTCCAGCTCTCCTCCAGCTCCCCAGTGGGATATAACCCACCCCATCTCTCTGCCAGCCCCCTGATGAGACATGATCCATTCCAGCTCTCTTCCAGCTCCCCAGTGGAACATGATCCATTCCAGCTCTCCTCCAGCTCCCCAGTGGGATATAACCCACCCCATCTCTCTGCCTGCCCCCGCCGTGGCACGAGCTGCCCCAGCCCCGTGCCCTGGCTCACTTTTTGATGGTGCAGGCGTCGGGGCAGGTGGGGCACCTCTCGCAGGTGTCCCCGTAGGAGCCGGGCTGGGTGCACTCGCAGCGGCCGCACACGCAGGAGCCGTGGCCGGAGCACACCAGCCCGTTGCCGGACATGCAGGTGTCCGTGCGCGTCGTGCAGTTGCAGTAGTCGCCCGTCCAGTCCGGGTCGCACACACAGTCCCCGCAGCTGCACTTCCCGTGGCCTGGGGACAAGCCAAAGAGCATCAGGACCCTCAGTGGCAGAGCAGCCACCCAGGACAATCCCACTGCACTGTGCTCGGGGTGGGACAGGCAGCAGCTCACGCCAAACCCCAACCTTTGCTGCGTCCCCAACGCTGCTCTTATCCCACCCGAACAAGAACAGAGGTGGGCAATGAAGATGGGGAATGGCCTTGAGGGGAAGCTGCAAGAGGAGCAGCTGAGGGCACCTGGTCTGTTCAGCCTGGAGGAGACTGAGGGGAGACATCATTGCAGTTCCAACTTCCTTGGGAGAGGAAGCGGAGAGGCAGGCACTGAGCTCTGCTCTGGGGGGACCAGGGACAGCACCCAGGGAATGGCCTGAAGTTGTGTCAGGGATTTTAGAAAAAGGTTCTTTCCCCAGAGGGTGGTTGGGCACCAATAAGGCTCCCCAGGACCACTGGGCACAGCCCCAAGGCTGACAAAGCTCAAGGAGCATTTGGATGATCCTCTGGGGCACAGGGTGTGACTCTTGGGGATGGTCCTGTGCAGGGCCAGGAGTTGGACTGGATGATCCTTGTGGGTCTCTTCCAACTCAGCATATTCTGTGATTCTGTGATTCCAGGCTGAACTGCCCCAGCTCTGCCAGGTTGGCAGCAGCAGCTGGAGATGCTCAGTCAGATCCGTCTCTGAGCGAGTCAAGCCTTGGCTGTGGCTTTGAATTTCAGATTGAGTCGGGACATCTGGTCAAACCCCCCAAATCCCACTCGTTTCCCAGCCCTGGACCAGGCAGGGGAAGCTGACTGCTGGGAAAAGCCTGCCGAGCTCTGCACGCTCACCGAGCCTGGTTTAATCACACAGACAGACAGACAGACGTGCTCAGATCCTGCCAAACCCCGGAGCTGTTTGGATTTGTGGTTTGATTCCAGCTCAAAGACCAGACACGGTGAGCGGTGGAAACACCACGGAGCCGGCACGCGCCGACCCGTCCAAGCCCTGGGCACAGTGGGGAACGTTGGGAACGCTGCTCCCGGCAGGGGATCGGCTGGGCACCGTCCCAAAACCCTGCTCTTGGCCCGACACTGTCCGGGAATGCTGCTCCCAGCGGGGGATCGGCCGGGCACTGTCCCTGCCACAGCCTTGGAGGCAGCGGCATGAGAAATAAATGTGTAACCCCGTTAATGAGGAACCAGGGCTGAGTCACAGGAAAACGGTGCCACGCTGGGTGACAGGGCATGGAAAGAGACGGGCAGGCCGGGGAGAAGGGGCTCAGTGGGACCAGACTGATGCCAACGGGGTCAGACGGTTCAGGTTAATTAACAGCCCGCCCTGGCTGGGGGCAGCTCTTCATCATCGCCCTTCACCCACCCCGACCCGGCAGCCTTGGCAGCCCTTGCGCAAACAGGAACAGGCTCCCTGCGGGCACTGACTGCTCTGGGTGGGGAAAACCCAGCGTTTCCACCTCCATTATCAGCAGGCTGTGAAGATAAAGGATCAATCCCAGCAGCAGAGAGGCGCTTTGAGCCATGAATTTGGCCTGAGGGGCAGGTGGGGTCCCAGAAACTCAGTCTGGGGACACTGGGGAGCAGGAACCAGAGGTAGTGATTATTCTGAGTTGGAAGGGACTCACGAGGATCATCGAGTCCAACATGAATGGCCAGTGTGGGGATTGAACCCACAACCTTGGTGTTATTAACACCATGCTGTAACCAACTGAGCTCGGGGTCATCTCCCCACAAGTGTTGGTCTGGGTGGGTTGCATCAAATCTCTGCTTAATAATTATTTCCTTTTTGACAGCTTCAATGTAACTGTTTCAATAACTGCTTCAATGCAGTGCACTATCCTATCTTACACCACACTACTAGTAGCTTTAGCGCTTATACTGTGTAGTAAATAATTCTGATTA